AGCAAAGCTACCAGACTCTTGGAGGGAGGCATATATCTCACTAATCCCAACAGAAGGGGCAGGTACAACACAGATAAAAAATTATAGGCCGATCTCCTTACTAAATTCCGACTACAAGATTTTTATGAATTTGATGGCAAACAGATTAAAGGCAATATTAAACCGTAGAATACATTTGGACCAGAACGGATTCCTGCCGGCAAGACAAATTAAAAACAACATACGGACGGTGATTAATGTAATAGAATACTATGAGGTGCATCCAGAGAAACAGGTAGCCCTGATTTTTCTGGATGCACAAAAAGCGTTTGATCGGGTTAATTGGAAATTTATGACACGACAAATAAAAAATATGAAATTTGGGGAGAAATTCGAAAAGATGATAGTTTCAATATACACAAAACAGAGAGCAAGGATACTAGTCAACGGGGAACTAATAAATTTTTTTGAAATAAGTAGAGGAATATGACAAGGGTGCCCACTTTCACCATTACTTTTTATTCTAACCTTGGAAAATTTACTTAGAAGAATCAAATTAAACAAAAACATAAAAGGACTTAAGGTAAAAGGAGAAGAATACAAGGTCCAAGCATTTGCCGACGACCTTGTATTCTTCATAGAGGATCCATTAGAAACAGAATTAAAATTAACAGAAGAAATAGAGAAATTCTGTAAAGTGGCAGGTTTAAAAATTAATAAAGATAAGACTAAAATATTAACTAAAAACCTAACAGTAAAACAAATAGAAGAGTTAGAAAAACAATCAGGATTACAAGTAGTTAAGAAGATAAAATATTTAGGTATCAATTTAACAACTAGGAATGTAGCCATAAAAGATAATAATTACGGAGAGTTAGTACAACAAATTAAAAAAGACTTAGAAAGATGGGGGAAACTAAAGCTATCATTGCTAGGAAGAATTGCGGCAATAAAGATGAATATACTGCCGAGACTTCTCTACTTATTTCAAACTGTTCCGGTTAAATTAGAGAAAAACTTCTTCACAAATCTGAATAAAATAATATCAAAATTCGTATGGGAGGGAAAAAAACCAAGGATAAATTTAAAAATATTACAGGACGATAGAACTAGAGGGGGTTTTGGCCTACCAGCGTGGGAAAAATACTATAAAGCGGCAAGTCTAACATGAATTAAAGAATGGGTCAATTTGGATAATTATAGACAATTAAAATTGGAAGGCCACGACTTATTAAAGGGGTGGCATGCCTTCTTGTGGAACGCTGGGGACAAAACGTATAAACACTTTAAAAATCATAATAAGAAATTCGCTAATTGGCACTTGGTTTGAAATTAAAAATAAACATTATATGAAGGTTCCCGGCTGGATATCCACATTGGAGGCGGCAATGCACCTCGACACACTAGCTTCCCATAAATTAATAAGATACAAAGAATTACTGGATTCCCATGGAAGATTAAAAACACAGCAGGAATTTAGGGAACAAGGTATAGAAATGGATTGATGGCCCTACCTACAAATACAAACTAGATACAATGAAGATAGTGAGCAAGGATGAATCGAAATAAATCCCAATCGACTAGACAAATTATTAGGAGCTAAAGATGGAAACTTGATTTCAAAGATTTACAGATATTTATTAGAATTTGACCTGGCAGAAAATCTAGTTAAAGGACAAATGATAGCCTGGGCAAGGAATATTGGTAAAAATATACAATTGGAAGAATTGGAAAGGGTATGGGAAACCAACTATAGAAGAACAAAATCGGTAGCATATAAGGAGAACCATTACAAGATGTGGTACAGATGGTATCTAGCCCCTGCGAGATTGGCGAGGATGTATGCAAATCTTGATCCAACATGTTGGAAATGTAAACAAGCAAAGGGAACCTTCTTTCATGTCTGGTGGCTTTGCCCAAAAATTAAGAAATATTGGATAAAAATAAAAATTTGGATATTAGAAATAACTGCAGAAGATATTGAGCTAAAACCAGAAATCTTTTTGTTAGGAATGCTTAAACAAAACATTAGAAAAGAAAAAAAGTACCTAACATTACATATAATCATGGCGGCTAGGTTAGCCCTAGCAGAAGTCTGGAAAACAGATCAATTGCCAATGGAGCAGCAAATAATTCAAAAAATTTATACATGTGCAGAAATGGATAGACTAATGTTGAAATTGAAAGACAAGGAAGACTCACAGTATTTTAAGGTATGGGATAGTTGGTATGAGTGGATAAACCAATGGAAAAGAAGGTAAAGTTAAAATCTAGTAAGAAATTAAAAGTAATAATTATACACCATCATTAAGATAAAAGAGGAAATAAGTCACTGTGTATATTTGTATTTATATATATATCATATACTTTGTTTGTTGTGATTAGTATTGTTGATTGTATTTTAAGGCTGTGAATGTTTTATATAATTTTATCTTTTTAAATTTAATAAAGTTTGTTTTTTAAAACCAAAAAAAAAAGAAGAAGAGGGTTGTCAAATTCCCGGCCCATGGGCCGGATGCGTCACATGCTGGCCACACCCACACCTGGTTTAGCAAAGGGGGGAAAAGTCCCAATACATGACGTGACACTGCCGTGATGATGTGAGTTTGAGACCCCTGCCTTAGAGTTTTAGAAATCTAGGCCCTTTTGTGTCCCTTTATTGTACTTTCCCACCAATTGTATGTTTTATTTAAGCATGGAAGAACTGAACTCTCATAATCCACGGTGTCATGCTGAAGCATTGGTTTATAATAAGCTTTTAAAATTCCCTTCTTTTGAGAATGATGTACATACACTTCCTGCAATACTAATAAGAATACATGTGGGAAGAAACATAGGAAAAAGAAAAGTTTCATTATGAATCATAATTATAAATTAAATGTTATCTGTATTAAGTTTTTAATAAGTTAAATTTCTTAGTCCTAAGCATAGAACATGCAGAACACTCATGCTGTGCTTCCAGGTATTTAGTGAGTAGATTTTGATTAACCTTCCTTTGGGCTTGCTATTCAAGTGGGATTGCTTTGGATCAACAGTTGTTACTCTTCTGAACAATGGGCAATGATATATGCATTAAAAACATCAATGGATAATAATTTTCAAGTGTATCTACTCAACTGAGTAGATGAGAATGAGCATGGAAAAAGTAAACTTTCTATCAACTGTATTTTTATTGGGAAAGTGAGGCTGACTAGATTGATGGATAGATGGAGAATGGAATAGGCTTCTCAGCAATTTGGACAAGATTTTTGAAAGGAGTCAGCCAAGGCTTTAACACAGTGAATAATGTGGAATAACTATAGCCACAAAAAAATTGTTTGGTTGGCTTACATGTTTCCAGTGATTGTGGAAAGACAACTGTGTCTATGGAAACAAACACAAATAATCGGGAATCTGCTGGCATCTTTTCTAACTAACAGATTTTGTCTATGTGTTAAGCTATGTTTCCCCTCCTCGTCAGTGTAACCACTTAGTGCATTTGATGGAGTGAGCTGCTCATAAAAAGCTTATGCCTTTTAATAATTAGAAAAGGTGCAACCCAACTCTTTATGTTTAAGTGATTTACAGGGCAAAAACTGTTTGAAAACTATTTTCCTAAAGTATGTAATTCTGATAAACAATTAGATTTAGAGAAGGCACACTGTCTTTTCAACACATCCACCACTTTCTTCATACAACTTCTTTTTACATTCAACTGATAACTGAGAATGGCCAATTGGTACTCGTTTGAAGAACATACTTGGCCTGAAGCTTTGCTTTTGCTTAACTTTAACATATCTTATTTTGAAATATATTAGAATGTACTATTCTTTATTGTATGTTAAGCCTAGTACCACTTCTTTAGATGCAAAACACAGTAAATATGATAAAATTTTACTTGTATTTGAGTAGAATGAACCTTTCATTATTTTTCCTGAGTATGATATGTACTGTGCAATGTTTCAGGTTCCTTTAAACCAGGGGTGTCAAACTTGATTTCACATCAGGATTGTGTTTACCCTCAGGGGGCTGGGATGGACGTGGCCAGGGTGGGCATGGCCAGCTCATCGCTCATGTTGGGAGCGCCACAGGGCCCAAGTGCTCTGAAAGCAGAAACAGGCTCTGAGCCCCGTTTTCAGCTGCAATGGTCTCCTGCAACCCTCTACCAGTAAAAAGGGAGCTCAGGAGAGTCGCACACAACCCTCCCAAACTCTGTTTTCGCTGGCAGAGGCATTGCGAGCCAGTCCTTTGCTGTTTCCAGGGCGGCCCTGCGGGCCAGATATAAGCAACCCACGGGGAAGATCCGGCCCAGGAGCCTTGAGTTTGACACTTCTGCTTTAAATGTTCTCACAATACCTTTTTTTAAAAAATTGATATCTATATGTAGGCAATGGTTCTTTTCTACTTACTAATTGTAACAATTGTTAGGTTTAATTAATACTTCAGGTGATTATAAGAAGGTTGTGGATGTTTAATGTAAAAATTACTTTTCTTTTTTTGAAAAAATTGCCAATCTTAAAAGATTGTGCCTTGAATTTTTTAAAAACCAAGACAGTGGTAGCATTCTCTTTAACGTTTACCTTGGATCCAATTTCTCTCAAATTTGGGAGGCTTTCTGCATGAGATAAGGAAGTTGTTCTTTTTCTTCTTGCTTCCTCCCTCTTTGCAATCTTCAGGATGGGTTTTCAGTAATGGGAAGTAAAATATAGAGGAGCGTTGCACCTACATAAATATATTTGCTTTGTATTGAGTTTCTCTCAAACATGTCCATGCAAATGTATAGAAAAAGAAAATAAATTCATTCATTCAGATCGGATGGGGTAGACTAACATATATACAAAATAGTTCTCCCTTCCTCCCTCCCTCTGTCCCTCCCTCAATACACAGTAACAGAGTTCTAAAGCATTTTAGTAGTCTAACTGATCATGTACATCCACTTCATTAGATGAAGATGATTGTATTATTGCATGAAAGTGGATACAATAATAAATGCCTAGGTCTTAATGCCAGAGGTCCATATGTTTTCTCTCTTTTAATCTTAGGTGCTTTTGAAATTTCTCTTCCTCTGGGTGGAAACATAACAGTTAAAATAAAACCTGGATTTTCTTTTCTAAATACCTGTGCACTGCATGAAGGAAAAAAAACTTATTTTTTTGAGCAAATCATAAACCCTGGACAGAAGTTTCAATTTACCTTTAATTGTTCAACACCAGAGAAATATTGGTCCATACTTGTGGAGAAAAACATTGGTAAGCAATGTTACATGAACTGCATCTAAAATTAGTGGGAGCTTTTTAAAGCACTGGATTATTTACCAACTCTGTCAGAAGTCTAAATGAACTTGAACAACCACATCAGTGAAATGGGTTAAAATGGTTTTTGGTTTTTTTTGTTTTTTGTTTTTGCTTAATGTTTTAAAAGAATCTGAAGTTTACACTTCAGGTTTTCTTACCTTTTTTTATAATATAATAATCTTTGGACTTTTTATTTAATGGGACATTCCCCCCCTCCCCCAATAAATAAATAAAAATATGTCATGTTCAAAATTCCATAGTGAGCTTTCTTGAATACTGCTTGAACAAGGCAGAGGCTAAGGCTGCCACTTAAAAATGGATGGACCAGTATACATCTTTGCCCTCAAAGTGTAAAAATGACAGTTTGGGGGGGGGGAATGTATAGAGTACAATTTTAAGCATATTTACTAAGTTTGGTAACTTGCTGTGTTGGATTATAGCTCCCAGAATTCCCATAGAATTTATTGCTAACTAAGTTCTGAGTAAGACTACTATCCTGTAAAGTAGTTAAAACCAATTAGTTTATGTATATGTAGGAACTTTAGTAGCTTAGTTATGGATTGTTGATAGAATATTCTGGTAGTATGAACAGAAGGAAGAGTAAAATCATAGACCAAATCAATATAATTTATTATAACCATTTCAGATTTGAGTATAAGTCTTACACATTTCTCTATGTTTCTAGATTGTCTGTCAGGTCCATGTCCTTTTGGAGATGTTCAGCTTCAGCCTCCTGGATTGCCAAATCTTAATAGGACTTTCATTTGGGAGGCTAAAGCTAATCGAAGAGTTGGACTTGAACTGAAATTCTTTCCATGGTTAAGGCAAATTCTGCCTGGAGACACCTGCCCTGATCAAATTATTTACAACATTGGCAGTCGTCTGGGAAAAGATAGAGTCCACATTGGAACCTTCTGCAGAAATGGTTCAGTGTCACGGGTAAAGGCACAAGGTGACGCTATTTTGAGTCTACAACTTCCTTGGGATTCAAAACTTGCAACCTCTGGAGTTAAGCTTGAAAGCAGATCATCCATACAACGTAAGCATAGGAAATTGATACATTGCTTCCATTGACAGCCACATTGCAATTTGCTATATTTAAATGCCTTACACCAGTGCCCCCCAGCCTTTTGGGCAACAGGAACTAGTTCATATGATTTTGTATGCTGCCCGCATCCATGCTTTGCTTGTTTGTGTGGCCCGGTTTCTGGCATGCCGTGGCCCGGTGCTGGTCCACCATGGACCTACTTAGGTTCTTTTATTTCTGCTTTTTAATGAATGACAATTTTTTGTATGGATTATTTCAGTTTATTATTATTTTTAAGGATTACATGGGAATGTTGCAGACTTGAAGCAGAAAGTTTATAATTTTGAGCTTCATTTAGTCTATTTGTGGATAATGTGGAAGGGATTAAACCAACATTGTGGATAATGCCTAATTCAGATTGAGGAACTGTTTATAGAAAAATATGGACTAATATATATGAAAGATGGACTTGCTCAAACTCAGAAGCTGCCAACAATGGATCTATGCCAATGGATCTATGCCAGCTTGGCTGTCTCAGGAATTCTGGGAATTGAAGTCCACAGGTTGTAAAAGGGCCACATTTGCCCACCCCTGATCTATGCCATCTTTTTGCACATATTTTAAGAAGTGTACCTCAAAAATCTGTTCTAAGAAGTTGATCTAGCATGTAGCAAATAGTGTTCTCTCTCTTTTTTTTAATTTGATGGGGAAAAGAAAGCCTTGCTTCTTTTTAAGTGCCCAGTTTATTATGTAACTAGATCTAGTACTTTTTTTTAAAAAATAATTAATTCACATTATTTTGTACCATTAGATTTTTAACAAGCTTTTTCAAATTAAATTTCATTTTAAAATTTCCAAAATACATGCAACAACCTTGGCTGCTGTATGTACTTAATAAACAAAATCAAACCCACTTTCACTGAGATATTTTTAATGGAAAATTGATAATCAGGAAGTCTTCATTTGTGTCTTGCTTCTTAGTCTGGAAGAAGAAAATATTACTCTCTTTATCGGACAATAGAAAATATTTTCCACTTCTAGGCCAAAGCTGTAACTCAGAGTAAAAAAGACTGATCAGGAAGGAGAAGTTGGGCTATTTAAGAACATATTCATATATAAGGGTGCCCACAAATCACAGTAAATGGAGCTTAATGCTACCAATAGAGGATATCAATGCACACCACTTTTTCTTGCCCCTTGGCAGGGTTTGAGGACTTTGTCTGGATATAGTATATCAAGTGAAAAAAAGGCATTAATTTGAAGGCAAACTGAATGCTGCTGTTAGACTTCAAAGAGACTATAACAATGTATTTTCACTATTTAGATCAGGGGTGTCAAACGCAAATCGTCATGGCGGCATCACATGACAGGACTTTTTTCCCCTTTGCCAAACTTGATGTGCCTTACACTGTGGCCCCCAACTATAACTACGGGCCACAAGTTTGACAGCCCTGATCTAGATTGAATAGAGGAATTGGTCAGTGGCTTCACTGAGTTTTGAACAATCAAGAGTGAGATTAATTGCTGCAGTGCTTCCAACCTCTAATTTTGATGCCTCAAACTTTGAGAATCTTTGATTACTGTACATGGAGTATTTCTCCTTTGAAGTAAATCTTCCTTTTTTTAAGATAGGACTCTGCATTATAGAATCTACATTTAAAGGCAAATCATCAGCAACTTTGATGTCTGCAAATTATCCATTGGGGTTACCAGAAGATGAACTCATGACATGGCAGTTTGTTCTTCCATCCAGTTTAAGAGCAGATATCAACTTCATCAATTATACAAAACCGAACTGTGAACGGAAATATGAACGGGTGGAATACTCATTACCCAATTATTCTCCTGATGCTAGAGTCTTATCCCTGGATGATGTGCAACCTGTCAATATTCCTGGCAGTTTCAACCTTTCCCTGTATGGATGTGACCAAGATGACATGAAGCCAGGGTTCCTCAGACTCTTATTTAAAGTGATAGTAAATTACCCTAAAAATGAAGAGAGTAAGCAACTGTTCTTCTCTGTCTTATGACCATTTCCTTTGGTTAATATATTTGCATATTAACTAAATTTGAAGACGCATTCCCCAACTAGTATCTTCTATCCGTGTTGTCTTACAGTTCTTGTCAACCCCGGATATACATGCATTCACATACAGATTTTATATAATTAGTACATAATATTTTTTTTAATCTTCTATCACATTTATCAAACTTAGGTGATCCTCATAATACTATTTAAACAGCAGGAAAAAATGCCTAACATCTATAAGTCTCTAATCTTTCTATCAATTATTTTTGTTTATTCTATTAAAATATATGTTCTAATATTTCCCCTATCTAATTTTATTTCTGCCTCTATCAGTTTACAACAAGCTCCCTTAATGTTTAAAAGGCAATTCTTTCTATCCATCCTCTCTTCTCTTTAGTGTTTCAATTTTTATCCATTTTTTTACTCGCCTTCCACACTCCTCATTTTTATCTCTATCTTTCTTGTTCTTGTTCAATTGAGTACATAATATTTTAATTGCTATTGGAAATGATCTTTTTCTTTTTTATCAAGACAAACAGATCATCCAAATATTAAAATTAAGATTTTCAATCTTGGGTTTTTATTATGTGGATACAATGTTAAAATCAGTTACTCTTGCATGAATCTATTGTTAAATCAGATTTCAGATTTTTTAAAACTCAGGCAATTTTATCTGCCCATTCATTTGCAAATCTTTCATTGCTTCAGAGTTTATCATAGTAAACCTGCATACTTAATCTATCCCTCAATAGATCTAATTGAAACCCAAGATAACAACAGTATCATTTTCTTGTAAGAATATGGCAATTATTTTAAAATTTGATCTTGTGTATTTTTGTTTGTTTTTAGATGTAACCTACAAAATTGATCTAATACATGAGAAGACTAATCTTACAGTTTATTCAAAATCATCAATGAATGAATGTTTGATCTGTGTTCACTCTAGCAGAAACTGCAGACCAAATGTGACATTAGAATATGGTCGCACATATTTTGTTACCTTCTTGTGCCAAAATTTGGAGAATATAAGGATAATTGCTGAGCAAAGTATAGGTATGAGAAAAATACTTAGATTTTTGTTACATGAAAGATGTAAGCAGAATGCATACATGTATTTTGTTCTTGTTTACTTTAATTTCAGTAGTCAGGTAGAACTGAGCACCATCATATGCTATAGGAGAAACAAGATTGCCTTGCCATTACATTTTTATAATCTAATTCAATCTGAAAATTGCACTTGTGTTGAATTACCATCCTTGTCATCTTTACTTATGACATGAAGGCTATAGATTATAAAAGCTGTATATGTAAGATATATTCGTACCATACCAGATTGGAAGAAAATGTAGTTTATTGAGATGTGGCACATGCTAGAAACATAATCTATAGTAATGAATAATAATTTTTGGATGCAAGTTTAGCTGTATTTTCCAGCATTCATCTCTATGTTACATTGATTGTAAGATCAGTCTTAAATAGAATGTAAAGACAAAATTGACTCTGATCACTGCCACAATATATGCTATAGATGGGATCCAAAATTCAGAATGCAGTAGTTAACTAGAAAGAATAGAACTTTTCTTCAGTACTTGCAGAAATGCAGAGCCTTCCAATTTTTACTAGTTTGAATCCAAAGTTCTGGTTTCTCTTGACCTAAAATGGAAGGAGTTATGTGAAGGGTATATTAGCAAATTCCATTCTACCCAATTCAGCTTTCAAATGCCTTATTTTGGTTTCCATAGTCTTAGAAAAGGCAAGACTGTATCTGTGGTGATTCCTTATTTCTTAGAATAATTTTTTTGGTCCTATCCATACAATTGCTACTCTCTTTGACGATGGAAAAAATAAAAATCTCTTCCTCCCCAATCCCCATTCATTATTTCAGTGCAAATATTTTATGTTTGTAACAATACTGTCAAAAAGATTGTTGAGAAATTATTTTATTAAAACTGAAAGGCAAATTAAAAGTGCCTTTAAAGTTTAAAAGCCAGTAACATGGAAGGAATATCAGTGACAGGTTTTTTTTTCTAAATGTCTTGTAATTTCTTCTAATATCTCAGTTTGATATTTATTAATATGCAGTATATTAAACATAATGATGGGGATCTGAGGGTCACCGGTGCCTCTGTGGGAGACAAATTAATAGCACAGAAATTATTCCAAATTATTCCAAACACTGCTGAAACATGGCAACATTGATGATAAAAGGGCAGTTATACGACTCAAATTTATAGGATTTCTAAGAACTACATGCTTCTAAAATCACTGGATTCATCTCTCCCTCCCTCTCTCTTCCTCTCTCTCTCTCTCTCTCTCTTCCCCCCTCCCTCCCTCCATCTCTCTTTCCCTCTCTCTCTTTCTCTCTCTCCCCCTCCCTCCCTCTGTCTCTCTCTCTCTCTTCTCTCCCTCCCCCCATCTCTCTCTTTCTCTCAGAACTGTTAATCTCCCTCACTGCCTGTGGACAGTATACAGATAAAATATCAAACATTGAAAACAGAATATAAAATTTACAAATTAAAAATGCAAAGATGTATTAAACATTAATATAAAAAATTAATTAAAAGATGGGAAAGTTTTCAATGCACTAGCCAGCCCCACAACTTCATGTTTCTATATGAGCCCCAAGACTCCTTTTCAGAAGGCTAGGAAAGTGGGGGACCCTCACTCTAGGGGGAAAATGTTCCACAGGATGGGGGCAATGGCAGAGAAAGCTTTTTTTCCTGGGTCCACTGGTTGGAATTCTTTTATTGATAGTCTGCAGCATGTCTTCTCTGCCTGAATGGTTGGGCTGGGCTGGGCTGGGCTGTTGTAATAGGACGAAGATGTTTCCATAGGTCTCATGCCATGTAGGGCTTTAAAAGTCATAACCAACACCTTGAATTGGACACAGAAACAAGTCAGCAGACCCAGAAACAAATCAGCACCCAATGCAGCTTGCGCATTAAAGTGTTATATGAGCCATTAGGGTGTTACATATTCAAGTAATCATGTATGCAATAGTTCACATATCAGTGTAAATTACCGTATTTTTTGGAGTATAAGATGCACTTTTTCCCCCATAAAAGAGGGTGAAAATTTGGGTGAGTCTTATACATCAAATGTAGCCCCACCCACCCGCCACCCGCCTGGAAAATGGGGCGCGCGGAGGCGGCAATAGGCTATGGCAATCCCTGCAGCCTGAAACAGCTGATCTTCGGGAGGCCGATCCAACCGACAATCAGCTGCTTGTGCTAATAAGGCTGTGCTAAACTGGAATTGAAACGAGCTGTTTGCTGCAAAGAAGCAAATTGCTGGGAGGCAGAGGCAGATTTTTTTTTCTTGTTTTCCTCTCCAAAAAAGATACGTGTGTCTTATAGTCCGGAGCGTCTTATACTCCGAAAAATATGGTGAAAGGGAATATTGAGAATTAATTGGCAACTTAATGTGACTGTTGAACCAATATAGTTGTATTGTTGAAAGTAGTTTAATGATAGTTTGTTGCAGTGAAAAATATAGTGAATTAAAAACTGAACCTTAAAATATCTGGAGGGCACCAGCTTTGTAACATTAATATACAGATAATTACTCAAATACAGATCTCTCAAATACTAAGTTTTATTGATTTACCAGAAAATCTTCCATGTAGAAAAAGATGCTTGCCATGTAGAAAAAACAATAATGGGAAAGATAGAAAATTGCCTGATTTTCTAATTAGTTTCAGATTCAAATCTGCTGTGTTCTGTTTTTTCTAAATACAGTTTGCTGGAATGCCAGAACATGTGAAAATCTATTCTTCCAGCTGGCTGTACCTTCGGTTCTTCTCCAGCTGCCAATTTTAATTGAGACATTTACATGGAAAATTCAAGCTCTTGAAGCAGTGAATATAGAAATCAGGTCCTCCACCTTGAAACTCAAGCAACATATCCCAAACCGGGATCAAAGGTGCAATGGAAGTTATAGTTATATTATTAATGGCTCCAGTCCAGGAAGGTCATGGAGTCTTGGTTATTTTTGTCCTGTTGGAGACATTGAAAAAATCCAGATTAAAGATAATGTCACCATAACCCTTAAGACATTTGGCAAAAGATGGTTCAATGAGTCTAATGCTCAGAAAGGGGATCTGAAGCTGTTTTTTAAGCCAGTTCTACAAGGTAAGTTAATTTTCTTTTACAGATAATCTTTGAGTTATGACAGTTCACATAGTGACTGTTCAATGTCATAACACCCCCCCCCCCAAGTACTATGACACAGTCCTGAAGTTACGAATGAAGCAGCACCATGTCAGTTGTTCACCCTTTACAAACGACCACAGTCTTACAAGGTAAGTTAGTTTTTTTTTACAGCTAATCCTCCAGTTATGACAATTCACTTAGCGAACATTCAACATTACGACATAACCCCCCTCCCCCAAGTACTTATGACACAGTCCCGAAATTACGAATGTAGCAGCACCACAGCAGTCGTTCACTCTTTACGACCGCAGAGGCACTGCAGCATTCATCCTGCCTATTCCCCCCCCCCCGCCCTCCCGTCGGGCAGGTCTCTACCAGCACTGAGCCTATGGAGATTCACCTTGCAAAGATCTAGTAAGCTGTCTCCTCTCCAGCCTTTCTGCCACGGTTTCTTTGCCTGCTCTAAAACAGGAGCAGTGAGAGCAAAGGGAGAACGGGACAAGTGCGCCCTGTTCAGCTTGCAATTTCCCTCTTAGGCTCAGGTCATCTTTGCAAAAAGCCCTCACCACTGAAAACGGAGCCCAGGGTGGACATGCCAGCCTCTCTTGGGGTCTGTTCTTGTCGGCAAAGGCTTTTTGCAAAGGCTTGCAGTAGCCTAGAGGGAGATTGTCTTTGCAAAAAGCCCTTGCTGCTGAAAACAGAGCCCAGGATGGATGTGCCTATCCTTGGGCTCTGTTCTTGCCAGCAAAGATTTTTTGCAAATACAATCAGAGCCTAAAAGGATGCTATCTCCCTCTAGGCTTTGACAAGCCTTTGGAAAACTTTACCAGCAAAAACAGGGCCCGGGAGGGCCCGGCGCATCCTTCATGGGCTCCATTGTTTGCGGGCAAGAGCATTTTGCAAAGACAATTGGAGCCTAGTGGGAGATAACAAGCTGACACACGCATCCCGCTCTCTCTCTGCTCTCACTACTCCGCTTTTGTGTCAGAGTTTGCAGCAATCCAACCAACACGCAAGTAAAGAATTCAGCAGGATTCATTTATATAAGAAACTTCTTTATATACAATATCATGCAGCAAAAGCCAGAATCAGAACTCAGAATCTAGAAGTACAGAATCAATAATTACAGAAGCATAGAAGTAATACTCACAGAAGTAAGATATAATACAGAGGCACTCATATATATACAGATCAGTGAACCTAAGCCACTCCCAGGCTCCAAGCCGTCTGGATCACCAAACAGTCCCCATTGGCTGGCCTGTTACCTTGTCTATACCAATTCATGAACTCACACGCTGACATTTTGGAGCACCAGAAATAGGCAAATCATGGCAGAGAGGAGACAGCTCACTAGATCTTGGCAAGTAAGATGGGGAGAAGAAATTGCGGGCAGTATGAGATATCTCAGTGGGTCAGGGCCTTGGATGGCCTGTTCCATCAGTCCCCCCCCCATGGCCTTCCTCACTCTGAGATACCTCGTGCAGTTAATGACCAGCACATTAGATTAGCGAATGCATGGGCAAAGGCAGGGAGTTTTCATGTTTACATGATTCACTCGGATGAATCCTTGGGTTACAAATGTAATTGGCAAGCAACATTACATTCGTACCTCAAGGGTTACCTATATTTCTTGCTTATATGCAATATATAAAGATTCTTGGATTTTATCATGCCTTTCTAAACTGAGAATCAAATGCAGTGCTCTTTTCTATAATTCGTTTTCTGTGTTATTACATTAAAATTAATTTAATGTTTAAGATATGATAACTGGGTTCTATCACAATGTGGAATACTTAATTAACTTGGAATAACATACGATAAATGGAAGCAAAAGAAAATGTCATATAGATGGATAACAGTTCCAGGCTATGTCCAGCTATCCTGTTGGGAGTGTAACACATTAGGAGCCATTAAAGGAGCCATTAAAAAAGCAGGACTCAAATGCAATCTTGCCTAAATACTTAAAGCCTATCTAACTCATCTTTAATTCTAGCTTGCAATATGTTTTTTTTTTTAATTTTAAAAATTTATAAACTTTATTAAAACACATATAAAACACATATAAAAAACACATTTACAAAACATACAGCGTATAAGTAAATTTTCTTCTTAAAGCAATATTTTGTAGTGGTTCTTCAATTAATACAGTTGTGATTTTCCCCTTATGTTTAGCCTAGTAATTTTTCCCATTCCCTTTTCTCCCCCCTCCTCTTCTTTTTCCCCTCCCCTTGGGATTTCTTAACAATCTTGATATTTGAATTATACTTTTGTTTTGAAACTCCTGTTCATGTTTACTTGCCCATAGGAAATTATTAATATATCTATCTTTATTCTATTTTTCTTGCACCTATATATCTTTATTAGCGGCGTTATAGGTAACCATTTGTCCCATATTTTATAATACTCTGTCTCTTCTTTTTCCTTAATCTCTTTTGTTAGTCTATCCATTTCAGCACACTGTGCGATTTTATCTGTTAACTCTTCTTCCGTTGGGATTTTTTCTTGTTTCCAGTTCTTTGCGTATGTTATTCGAGTTGCCGTTAGAATATGTATTATCAGGTATTTTATATCGTTAGGATATGTTTTTGTGAAGATTCCTAGCAGGAAAGTTTCTGGTTTCATCTCTATTTGTAATTTTGTTATTTGTTCCAACCATTTCTTGATGTTAGACCAAAACTTCTTTGCTGCCGGGCACGTACACCATAGATGGTAAAAAGTACCCTGCAATTTTTTTGTATTTCCAGCATAATAAACTATTCTTTGAATGAATTTTTGCCAATCTTGTGGGCGACATATGCCACCTATAAAACATCTTCAGCTGGTTCTCCTTGTATGCCACCGCTAGTGTTAATTTTGTATTCATTTGCCATAATTCCTCCCACTTCTCCAAATCTATTGTATATTTAAAATTTTGCATCCATTTAATCATTGTATCTTTTACTGTTTCCTCCTCCATCTTATATCGCAATAGAAAATTATAGATTTTACTAATTAATTTCTCTTGTGAGTCTAATATAATTTTATCTAGTTCTTGTTTCTCTCTGTGGATTTCATATGTTTTTATGTGTTCCTTGTGTTTGGATTGGATCTGTGTGAAAATCCACCAATCGATTTCTCTATTTAACTCTAGTTCCAATTGTTGTTTGGTTTCAGCTTCCCTTGATAATCAATTAAGTCTTTATATCTAATTATGTTTTTGGGTTCTGTTAAATTTGGGTGCCTTACCGCTTCTGATGGTGATAGCCAATTCGGATTTTTTAATTTTTAGCCAAATTAGTAGTAGTGTATTCCTAATTGTATGTCTTTTAAAATAGGTATGTGTTTTATATCTTTCATCCCATAAAAAGGAATGCCATCCCATTTGCAGTTCATGGCCTTCAATTGTTAATATCCTGCTGTTTTTTAATTCCATCCATTGATAGTAGAGTTCCCAATCTGGGAGTGCTGTTCCTCCTCTGTCTTTCGTGTCTTGAAGTAGTTTAAGTTTAATTCGTGGTCGCTTTCCTTGCCATATAAATTTGGAGATTATCTTATTCAATGTTTCAAAAAACTTTTTCTCTAATTTTATTGGAGCGACCTGGAATAGATATAATAATTTTGGTAGAATGTTCATTTTAATAGTGGAGATTCTTCCCATTAATGAGATCTGTAGGTTTCTCCAGTTATCCAAATTTTTTTTTATCTGTACCATTAATTTGTCGTAATTGTTTTCCTTTATTGATGAGCTTCTTGGTGACAGCCAGATCCCTAAATACTTTATTTTCTTCATTATTTGAATTTGTGTGCTATTCTCCAATTCCTTTTCTTGATTTTTCGTGAGGTTTTTTTGCTATTAGTTTCGATTTATTTCTGTTTATTTTTAGCCCAGCCACCTCTCCGAATTCTTCTATTTTCTTGAACAGTTTTGGTGTTACTTCTAATGGTTCCTCTGCTATTATAAATACAAGGTCATCGGCAAAAGCCTGAACTTTGTATTCTTCTCGTCTTATTTTTAATCCTTGAATTTCTTGGTCTTCCCTAATTTTTTTTAACAAGATTTCCAGTGTTAAAATATACAATAATGGAGACAGTGGGCAGCCTTGTCTAACCCCTTTTGTAATATCAAATTGGTCTGTTATGTCATCATTTAGAATTACTCTTGCTGTTTGTTTTGTGTAAATTTCTCCAATGATTTTTTCAAATTTTATTCCAAATTGCATATTCTTTAATTGCGCCTTTAAGAATTTGCAGTTTAAATTATCAAATGCTTTTTGGGCATCAAGGAAAACCAGCAAAGCTTGTTTTTCCGGATGTGCTTCATAGTATTCAAGTGCATTTATTATTGTTCTTGATTTGACGGCCCGGCAGAAATCCATTTTGCTCCAAATGGATATAATTATTCAATACTTTTTTGGTTCTTTCCGCTATAATTGCTGCGAACACTTTATAATCTGTGTTCAATAAAGATATTGGTCTATAATTTTGAATTAATTTATGATCCGTGTCCTCTTTGGGTATGATTGTGATTATTGCCTCCGTCCAAGATAATGGGATTTTTGTCTTCTCCAGAGCCTCATTATATACCTCTAGTATAGTTTCTCCTATTGTTTCTTGTACAGTTTTATATAGCTCCACTGGTAGCCCGTCTGGCCCCGGTGTTTTGTTGTTTTTTTGTTTTTTCAGTGGGAATTCTAGTTCCATCTTAGTTATTGGCCCATTTAATATTTCTCTTTGTTCATCTGTAATTATTGGCATATCCGATCCTTTTATATATTGTTTTATCTTTTCTTCCTCTACTTCTTCTTGTTTATATAAATTTGCATAAAATGTCCTAATGATTTCTTTTTTCACCTCCCTGCTATATTGAATATCTCCTTTTTCATCTCTAAGTTGGTGTATCATTCTTTTATCTTTATCTTTTTTCAATACGCCAACCATCTGCCTGTTTTATTCGCAAACTCAAAATAATTCTGTTTGGCCATTTTTATTTTCTGTGCTAATTCATTTTGATTTATCAAATTTATGTTATGTTTAACTTTTTTCCATTCCTCTTTTATTTTTTTATTATCAGGATACTGTTGAAGTTTCTGTTCTATATTCTTTAATTCTTCATATAATTTATCTATCTTCTGTTTCCTTTCTTTATTTTTCTTTCCTAAGAAAGCAATAGTCAAGCCCCTTATATATGCTTTTGCCATATCCCACCTGTTCTATAAGGAAGTATCCTCTTTTTTGTTTGTTTTTAAAAATAAATCTAATTCCTTTTCTAACATATGTTTGAATTCCTTTTGTTTACATATCCTTTGATTCATTGTCCACCTCCTAAACCTTTTTTTCCCCTTCCAGATTATAAGGATTGGGTTATGATCTGCCCATTGATTTACTTCTATTTCTATTTTTTCTACCCCATTCCTAATATTTGCAGTCATCCAGGATTCTGGACCAGGATTGGTGAGGGTGGGAATAAAAAGTGAACTGGTTCTCATCTTCGTGTGTTTCCCTCCAAACATCTCTCAAATTAATTTCCATGGTCATATCAAAAAATTATTTTGGGAGTATTTCCTTCTTTCTCTTATTCTTTTTGCTACTTTTATAATCTTTTTTCACATCTACTATTGCATTGTAGTCTCCAATTAGACAGATCTCTTCATATTCTAATTCTACTATTTTTTTATGTATTCCTTTAAAATATTCTTGTTGGTTTTGGTTAGGGACATATATTGCTACTAATAATATTTTCTTACTTTCTAGTACTAACTCAACCATCACCGTTCTATCTTCCTCGTCTGCATATAATAGTTTCAAATCTATTCTTTCTTTTATGTAAACTGCTACTCCTCTTTTCTTCTTTTGAATCTGGGATGTATATAATTTTCCTAATTTTGGGTTTTCTAGTATTTTTTGGTACCCTTTTTTGATGTGTGTTTCTTGAAGGCATATCACATCTACTCCTAACTTTCGTAATTTTGTAAATGTTTGAGATCTTTTCTTTGGTGCATTTAGTCAGTTTATATTTACAGAAAAAAGTTTCATTGCCTCTTCCATTGTCTAATGTAATTGTTTTTTAGTATGTCTTGTTTCCATCCAAGATTTTGTTCTTGCCCCCTCTCTTTCCTCTCTTTCTTTCTCTTGATTTTTCCTCACTTCTTTCTCTTGCACCACTTCTATTTGCTCTTCTTCCTGGCTTCTAATTTCTGTTTCTTCTTTACTTTCCTGCTCTTACTCCTGGTCAAAGTGCACATTATAAAATTCCCTCACTTTTTCTACTGTGTCTATTTTGTATTTTTTATCTTCCCAGGTGACCAAGATCCCTTCCGGAGTTAACTATCTAAAGATTATTTTATATCTGTTCAGTTGCGTTGTTAGAAATTGGTACTGTTGACGTTGATTTCTGATTCTTCGGGGGATTTGTTTTAGGACTATAATTTCTTTTCCTTTGTATGTCAACGTCCCTTCTCTAGATTTCCTATATACCTCCTCTCTAATTGATCGTTTGGAAAAATCTGATGTGTACTTCTCTTGCCAGGTGATGTCTTCTTATATAGTTTGCATGTACGCAATATATTTCATCTAATTGTCCTTTTATTTCTAGTTTGTCTTTTTGTATTATTTCTTACACTATCTCCGCCATTTTTTCTCCCAAGTCTTCATGTTTTTCTTCTGTTATATTTTGAAAACGGAGAAAATATGAAACTTTCTCCATCTCAAGCATTGTTATTGAGTCGGACATCTCCTCATTTAATTGAAGGGCTTTTTGCTCCATTGCCTCTACCTTTGTTTCTACTTGATCTATTTTTGTTTCTGCTTTTCTAATTCTTTGTTCGTTTTCTATTATTGATTGTTGAATATCTCCGATTTTGTCATTCATATTTTTAATATCCTCTCTAACTTCTCCAATTTCATTTTTAATCTCTGCATTAAATATTCTCATTTCTTCATGATTTTCTGCTATTTTTTCTTGAGTCTTTAACAGTGTTTCCTGGATCATTGAAAACATGCTTTGCATGGCAGTTAGTGTCAATTCCGGTTTCTCTTTCTCTTTCTCCTTTTCTTTTCCTACCATGCTATCTAACGTTTTTTGTTGTAGTGGTGATGCCACCATTGCTGTGGTATTTACAGCTGGTTTTTTCCCTGTTTTCATTATGGTAGTTATAGTTGACACTTAATGCTCGTACAAAACTTTCCCACACTAACATATAATTCTTAATCACCAATTTCCCTTATAATGTTACCACACTTTGATACACTTCTATTGATTACTAATCACTTAATATTACTTAGTTATTATTTTACAAGTTTTCAGTTCTTATTTACAGTATTTTCAATCAGCCTAGGTTATAATTCATTCACCTTCCCCTTTTTCAAATTTTATAAATTCACAATGCATATATATTTCAGAGTTACGGTATTATTTCTGTTCCTTCCCCCCCTTTATTTTCCATTACCTTAATAATTAATATATAAAAATACAATTAATCAAATATAGAAATAAAGGAAAATGTTTTTTTTTCTTTTTTCTTAATGGTACTTAACGTTTCTTCTCCGATCTCATCAGTGGCTGTAAATGTTACTATTTCCTGTAGTCCATTCGTATCAGATTTCCTTCCCCTCAAGTCTCTTTTTCTCTCTCTGCAATCACTGATAACGCCGCTCCATTTTAAAGTCCCACAGGGACTTCAAAAATCTTTTAAGTTCCTTTTAGCCTCGCTGTTTTTAAGTTAAAATGTTTATCTCCTTCTCCGGCTCCGGCTCCCTCCTTCTCCACCACCGTCTCTGGGGTCCTGGGATTATCAGTCTTCCGATCTTGCCTAGTCACTCCACGGGTCTCTTCTTTCTCATGCTATTGTTGTTGATTTTTTTTACATTTTATTGCGCTTCTGTTTTAGTTCGCCACCGTTAGTTAATCCCCTAGTTTTGCGCCCACCTCAGTCCGTGCTTCTCCTTTTCTTCTCTTCCATCTGGGGTTTCTTTACACAACCACACAAAACTGCAGTCCCTTTTAGCTTCACTCTAGGCGGCCGCCATCGCTCCTATCTGCCCTGAGGCCAACTTTCTCTCCACCAGTTTAAAGAGGTTCATCCGATATCCCCTCCGATGCTAGCGTAGTGCCCAGGGGCATCAAGATTTCCTCTTTTATTTCCCGGTCTCTACGGGATCGGGAGTGCTCTTAAAGAGCTTCTAATAGAGAGTTTGAGGTTCCAGAAACAGCAGCCCCATTTCCTCACCCCTGCACGATGTCGTCACCGCCAGAAGTCTCAGCTTGCAACATGTTTTAATATTGGTTTTGGGGGGTAATGGTTTTTTTGTTTCTGTATGTATATTGTTGTTCTCCTGGGGAGCTTGGAGCAGAATATAGTACCTCTCTACAACAACCTACTGTTAGCCTGAGCAGTCTACCAATCTTCCAAGACATTCATTTCTTTAGTTCCCCAAATTCTCAGCTATGAATGTTTTGGAAGATTTCCTATTTGTTAAAACTGGAAATTAAATTTAAAACAATAAGCTAAAGGAAAAACATGTATGTTATCCAATAACTTTAACACAACAGATACCAATTCAAAGAGCATTTTGGTATATTACAATTATCCAATAATGTTTGAACAGTGATATATTTAATTATTTTTTAAAAAATTATGTTGCAAGCTTCCCAGAGTAGGTATATCAGAGAGTTAGATGACACTGAAATTTAATAAATAAATAAAAATATTGATAGTATTTGGATGGGTTGGAGAGAGAAACTATATTTATCATGAGAGAAAACATTTCAATTAGGCCCCACTCAGTAACAGTGCCCCAGCTGGAGGAATTACAACATGAACTATTTTCATAAGAAACACCCAAACATTCTTTGCACAAGAGTCAGGTGATTCTAGGAAGATAATAGATTGTGGGTTTTTTGTTTTGTTTTTTTATCTGTTCTTATAAAAGTGATACTTTAAGACTACTCCATTGGAAATTCATAATTTATTAAATTGAAATCATCATCATCCAGAAAGGATTAATGGTAGCCCTTTTGAGGGAGATTACTATTTGATTAGAGAAAGGAAAGCAAAAGTTTTCTAGCTGTGCAAACTTCTATTCCATAAAGCAAATTTTAATAGAATTAGTAAACTGGCATAAAATAGAGAAGGGCACTGAAAAAGAAGCAAGTCCTTGACTACTACCAGTATGATCCTGATGACCTATATTGGCAATAAAATACCACAGAGAATAGATCAATCATCACAGAAGCCATTACAAAACATAAGGCGCTCAGGTAAGTTTGCAGATGAGAAGGTATAAGACAAGTAGCATGTACCGTATGATGTGATCAGTAGCTGCCATGGAGTTCTAATCAATCATTCTCTGAATAATTTATGGCACCTATAGATTTGAGCTCATTATTGATACCGTAAGACAGCTACTGTCATTTTTAAGCAACTGTGTTGTTTCAGATTATGTTATTAGAATAAAGAATAAAATGTTTTTTTCCTTCCCTGCCTCTACAGAAGATTGCATTTTCACCCTTAGTCCGGATCGAAAGACCAAAGTTTATGTACAGACTCCTAACTGGCTGGAAGGCCTTCTTCCTTTTATGTCAGTGTATTGGAATATCAGTGTCCTGCCAAAGCAAGTTGCACGGCTGACATTCTTAAATGAAAGGATGGGCATAACATGTGAAAAGAGTAGGGCTTTTATCTACATTAAAGAACAGAGTGCAAAAGCCTTAGAAACTGTGTGCCGTGATGATAATGTACTCCCGAGGACTTTGAATTTGAGACAGCATTTTTGGATTAATATCACTAATTGTAAACCATCTGCCAAGCAACAACTGAGTTTGCAATTCTTAGTGACATTTCAAAAAAATTCAGGTAAGTTATACTCACATTGTTACATAACCAAGTTCTCTATGAATTTCATACAAAGAAAGAACTATTCTGCATGAATGAATCTTTTGAACCTACTAGCCCAGGGAACTAGACCCCCCATAGCCCATGGTTTAATTTTGGGTACAAAAACAGATCTAAAATGTGGCACGAATCAATATGATGTCTCTTATTTTGTGCATCGTTCTTCTTAACATGGATATTTCTTCAGCATAATGTAAATGTAAAATTGCAGCAATCAAAATGCTGTTGAGCATGGAAGTTCACAAATGAGGAAGATATCAGGTAACCACTCCCAACCTCCTGAGAAGAGTATCTTTGAAAAGAGACAGTAATAATGCATGACTTTTTTTTCTGCTATATAATTTCTTATGACTCCTCTCCTGTTTATTTGTTTTTTCCTTCTGTCTTTCTTTAACTTCTTCACCATCGCTCCCTTTCGTCTTACCACCCAGCTATTAACTACTGGAGAAACATTATGTATCTCCGCAGTCGGTGAATTGTTCATGAATTTCAAATTGATTTTTGTTTCCCTCTTTCTATTTCTCTATAAACAGGCATGTAATCAACAATATTTTAAATTTGGCTTTTAGTAAATTGTCAATATGTTTAATTAGTCTTGAGGGTGTTTTATTCAAGACATGGAAGATGACACTGGAGGGGAAGAATCTGTGTAACTCCTCTCTTTCCAAGTCTCTGATCTTCTGCATGAGAAGTCTTTGAGTAGTTTTGGAAGGAACAAAATCCTTTCCCTCTTACTTTGAACCATCCTGAATGTCTCTTTCCCTTTATCTTTTCACAGATTTGACCGTCATAATTGGTGTGGTGGCTGGTGGGATGGCAGTTCTAGCTATTACTGGGCTCCTCATCTGCTATGTTAAGAAAAAAAGAAAAAGGTATGTTCATTTTGTTCCGGTAACAAACAAGTTTCTTTCTATTGTCAGATTAGTGGGCCTTAGGCAAACAATGCATTAGTGGTATTTCCCCTCTGAAATTTCTTTGAAAGAGGGGTTTCATCTGTGGCAGTAATATCATCTCTCTTTTAGAGGCTCTGTCTGTTGGAATGAAAGACAGATACTTCCCATTGCAGGAAGAATACTTCACAATATTCTCAGAAATAGCTGTTTTGGGAGCTAAGTGGAAAATTGCCTAGGAAGAAGCAAGTAGAAAAGACTCTTCCGGCTCTAGTTTTTCCCCTGTCACCTTTACTCTCCCTCCAATCCCAGGTCGATGAGCTTCATGGGGAATAAACACAAAATTCTGCTAAGGTTTTTCCTTGCCATTAATTGCATGGCAATTTGACATCAATGGGAAGGCTAAGGGAAAAAGAGAAGTCAGGCTAGGAATTTCAGATTGTCCATATGGGTTGCAGGTAAACTTGAAAAGAATGTCTGAAGCAGGAGAGTAAAAGAACTTCCTAGGTGTCATCCTGTATGCAGGGATGTCATGATAAAAGTTGTGTACCTGAACCAGGGCTGTTTTAGAATATTACAAGGTCTGAAGTAGGTTCTCAAATTCAATTCTGACTGCACAGTAACCAAGGCTGCCATCTGATGCAGAATATTCTGAACAGTAGCTTCACTTCTCCTTGATGATAAAGTATAGCAATAATTTTAAACAAAACAGTAAGTTGTAATTAGGGCTAATAGGTTGTCCACTAAGACTCCAAGATCCTTCTCACAGTTACTACTATTAAGCCTGGTTTCATCCAGTCTATATGTGTACTTTTGGTTTTTCTTGCCTAAGTGTAAGAGTTTACTTTTCTCTACATTGAATTTCATTTTGTTAGATAGGGCCCAGTGTTCAAGTCTGTCAAGATCTATCTGGATCTTGAGCCTATCATCTAAGGTGTTGGCTATTCCTGCCAATTTAGTATCATCCACAAATTTGGTAAATTCCCCTTCTATTCCTTCATCTAAGTCATTTATGAAAATGTTGAAGAGTACTCGGCCTAAGATGAAACCTTGTGGTACCCAACTACTTATTTCCCTTCATGTGAATGTAGTCCCATTAAGGACTACTCGTTGAGTATGGTTTATCATCAAGCTACAAATCCATCTGATAGTGATGCTATCTATCCTACTTTTTTCTAGCTTACCAAGAAGTAGGTTGTGGTCTACATTGTGGAATGCCTTGCTGAAGTCTATTATGTCCATAGTATTTCGCTGGTCTACTAATTTAGTCACTATATTGAAGAATGAAATAAGATTGGTTTGGCATGATCTGTTTTTAACAAACACATGCTGACTTCTAGTTATTTTACTTGTTCTAGATGTTGGCAGATCTGTTTTTTATTATCTTTTCCAGTATCTTCCTGGGTATTGATGTTAGACTGTTTGGTCTGTAGTTCCCTATGTCTGTTTTTTCCCCCTTTTTTGAAGATGGGAACCACATCAGCTCTTTTCCAGTCCTCTGGTAGCTTCCTGGTACTCCAAGATTTTTGAAAGATGTGGTACAGTGATTCTGAGATGACATCTGCCAGCTCCTTTAAAATTGTGGGATGTAATCTGTCAGGTCTCAGTGATTTATATTCATCAGATTGGTGTTCTCTTTACCTTTTTTTGCTTATTTTAACTTTTATTTCTAGTCTGTCTTTTACAGTTATGTTTTTGGTAGGTTGGGCTACAGCAGTGGTATCAAACTCAAGACCCACAGGCTGGATTCGGCCCATGATAAGGTCAGATCTGGCCTGCATGGCCATCCTGGAAACTGTAAAGGGCTGGTCCAAGTTGCTTTGGCCTGGACGACGCCATCCCGGTGATCATGCTTGGGCACAGGAAGCAGTGGGTACATGCGCACACAGACCCAGTTAACTGCCGTTGCATGCAGGGCAACAAAAGTAGTCTGTTGGGAGTATGGTAAAAAAAATACTTCAGACCTTCCAACTTTGTGAGATCTTTTTCTTTTTCATGAGAAGTTGGAAGTTATGAACTATTTTTTTTACCATAGACCCACAGACTAGTTTTGTTGCCTGGCACATGGTAGTGGTGAACGGAGCTGGAAAGCAGGTTAGTGAAGGGATGTGGCTGCCCTGGGAGAGGGTAGGGGGGTGGGAGGGTGAGGGTTTGGCATGGGTAGCCTGGCTGAAGGGCCCTCAGGTAAGCTCATGCGGGGTGGGTGGGCCAGCTCTGCATCCCTGCCTTGCTTCGTCCTCCACCCCCCCCCCCACCTCGCTTCGTTCTTCACCACTTCTCCTTGCTCACTGCTGTAATGGAGCAGGAGGCTGAGCTACACACTGGTGTGGTGGCCACAAAGCGAGGTGGTGGGGGTTGGAGGAAGCAAGACAGGGGTGCATAACTGCCCCCCACATCCCACTCTGGCTTACCTGAGCACCCCGCAGCCAGGCCATCTACATCCTGACAACTGCCTCATCTTGCGGCGACTCCAGCAGTCCCATCCAGGGTCCCACATGCATCCCTCAGCCTCTTGCTACATTGCGGCGGGCAAGCAAGGAGAAGCAGGCCAGCGGCCACACAGGGTCCTGGGCGGATTTCTGGAGGCGCCACCACGAGGTCAGGCAGTTGTCATGACATTGATGGCCTGGCTGAGGGGCCCTTAGGTAAGCCAGCATGTGGTGCAGTTCTGCGCATCTTGCCTTGCTTCGTCTTCCACCCCTCCACAGCCTTCTTTCATCTTCCACCCCCCTACCGCCTTGCTTTGTGGCTGCCGCACCAGTCTGTTGCTCATCCTCCTGCTCCGTTATGCAGTGAACAAGGATTAGAAGTGGTGAAGAATGAAGACAAACAAAGAGAGATGGTGGGGGGATAGAGGGCGAAGCAGTGCAGACTTACCGTGGAGAACATGATTGATGCTGCCACCATGAGGTGAGGTGAGAGAGCAAGAGAACGATCTGATTAAACCTCTGTGTGTGTGAGAGAGAGAAAGAGCTGCTTTCGGTGCCATTTGGTTTCCCACCCCACTCCCACCAGTCTGGTCTAGTGGGGGGATTGCCTTCTGCCTTTGCTGTGCCATGAACGGGGATTGACCATCCCCCAAGCCCCACCACTATCAAAGTAAATCTTGGCCAATGCACTGCAATGGGCAGATGAAAAGCAAGTGAGAAGCACCCTGCTGGCCAGGCACTGTGCGAGAGAGAGAGAGCAAGAGAGCGCTGATCCAACCTTGGGGAGTTATACCAGGGCTGCCAGCAGCGTGCTTCAGTGCCTGGCCGGCAGGATGCTTCTCACTTAGCTGCTTTCCCTCTTTCTCCCTGCTCCTCCTCCTCCTTCAGACAAAAGCTGCGCTTTTCATCTGTTCATTGCAGCGAAGTGCCTGGGATTTACTTTGTCAGCGGCAGGGCTTGAGGGATGGTCAATCCTCATTTGTGGCATGGGAGAGAAGGCGGAAGGCAATTCCCACCAGACCAGACCAGCTTGGTGGGGGTGGGGTGAAAAAACTGAAAGATGCTGAAAGCAACTGATGGCACACCAGCGGTAGCTGCCCCACTCTCTGCCTCGCCTCAGCTTATCCCACAGAATGAGCCTCCCATCCCCTGCCCCACCCACCAGAGACCTCTGGATTCCCCACCCACCACCCACATGAGCGATGTCAAGCTGGCCACACCCCCAGGCCACACCCAGTCAGCCACGACCACACACCCCAGCCCCCGAAGACAACCACAATGTTGATCTAGCCCTCAGTGAAATCGAATTTGACACCCCTTGGCTCTAGTTTCTTTTTGCATGAAGACTGATGCAAAGAATGAGTTAAGCAGCTCTGCTTTCTCTCTGCTGCCTGTTACTTCCTTGCCATCTTCTCTCTTTAATGGACTGACTGTTTCCTTGATTTTTTTTCTTGTTATTTATATGTTTATTTATTTATTTATTTATTTTAAAATTTGTATACCGCCCTTCTCCCTGAGGACTCAGGGCAGTGAACAGCCAAGTAAAAGCATAAACTACAAACATTAAAATACAATTAAAAAGATATATATAAATTTGGCCCCATGACTAAAAACAATAACAAACAATTAAAAACATTTTAAAAAGTGTTAGGCCAGCCCGGCTTGCTGGAAAAAGAAGGTTTTAAGGGCACGGCGGAAGGTTTTAAGGGCACGGCGGAAGGCACCAAGGTCTTGGATTCTCCTTATCTCTGGGGGCAGCTGATTCCAGAGGGTAGGTGCCCCCACAGAGAAGGCCCTTCCCCTGGGGGTCACCAGCCTACATTGTTTGGCTGATGGCACCCCGAGGAGGCCCTCTTTGTGGGAGCGCACAGGTCGATGGGAGGCCGTCGGTAGCAGCAGGCAGTCTCGAAGATAACTAGATCCTATGCCATGGAGCGCTTTAAAGGTGATAACCAACACCTTGAAGCACACCCGGAAGACCACTGGGAGCCAGTGCAGCTTACGCAGGAGAGGTGTTGTATGGGAGCGCCATGCGGCTCCCATGACTACCCACGTGGCCGCATTCTGGACCAGTTGGAAGAAACTTTTTTTATTATCTTTGACTTTTGTTGCAAGTTTGTTGCTTTTGTTGCTTAACGCATTGACTTTTGTTGCAAGTTTGTTGCTTTTGTTGCTTAACACATTGTAAGCCGCCCTGAGTCTCCAGAGAAGGGCGGCATATAAATCAAATTTTAAAAAAAAGTCTTTGTTCATTCTGAGCCTTTGCTTTCCTGACTTAGTCTTTGCAGATTCTGGCTATCTGCTGATATTCTGCCTTAGTTATGTGTCCTTCTTTCCATCATTTGTACTTATTCTTTTTGTCATTCAGTTTATCAGAGAGATCTTTGGGCAACCATGCTGATTTCTTCTTGGATTTCTTAACTTTTTTGTATTAATTTTCAGAAATTGTTATCAAAGAATGGTTATATTCCAAACCTGTTAGGATTTTCTCTCAATAATGTTTACTGATTTGTAATTTTTGGGAGTAAAAATACTTTTCTTTGGGAATCTCTGTAATGAAGATACAAAGATCATCTCTTAGATATGGTGATTTTCACCATTGCTTTGCCACAAACCCACTGACCTCCCTTCCTTTTTATTAACATGTCAGCTAGTTCCCAAAGCATCCCAGCCAACTCTATGTGTCATTAGGTCAATCAGCATTCACTCAGGAAGGGATAAACCCAAGTTTCTTCATTTTTTCCTGCCAGTAGAAATCATACTATGATGAAACAGTCATGACTGTGCTCTCTGTGCCTGTATGCAGCCCTGCTTCTAAAATGGCCAGGTCTGTGTCAGCAAGATTTAACTGATGCTCATGCAAGCTGATAGAAATCTGAGTCCCCATTGGGGACTATAACGCAATAGTGGATATCAAAAAAGATTACAAAAGTAATAAAAAAAAAGAAAGAAAGATATATTACCAAGAATTCTGTAATATGACAATAGAACTAAAATTGCAAGATGTATGGATAGAAATGCATAGTGAAGAGAGCCAATATACATTTTATTCATACCCACATCAATCCTGGTCCAGGATTAATATGGTTTGGATGACAGCAGAAATACAGACAGGAGTGGAAGAAGTAAAAATAAGAGTAAACGAGTGGGCAGACCACAACCCAATAACTATAAAATGGAAAGGACAAAAAAGATTTAAAAGATGGACATTGAATCAAAATATATGCAAAGACAAAGAATACAAACAGATGTTGGAAAAGGAGTTGAAGATATTTTTTAATGTGAATAAAAAAGAAGATACATCAATACAAAACCTTTGGGACACGCTAAAGGCATACATCTGTGGACTGACAATGGCTTATAACGCAGGAAGAAGAAGGAAAGGAAATATCAACAAGAAAAACTACAGAAAGAACTTTAAAAGTTAGAAAGAAAATTACAGGAAGATCCCCAAAATAAAAAAATAAAAGAGGAATGGAATATAGTTAGACATAAAATAAATTTAACAATCCAAAAGGAAATAGCGCAGAAAATAAAGCTATCAAAACAATTTTTTTTTTAACATGGAATAAAACGGGTAGATGGTTGGCCTATAAATTAAAAAAAGAAAAAGATAAAAGAATGATATATCAATTGAAAGATGAAAATGGAATAACCCAACACAAAAGGGAGGACAAAAAGGAAATTATACAAAAGTTTTTTCTCAAATCTATACTGTCAGGAAGAGATAGCAGAAGAAAAAGTTAAAGACTATATTGGATCAAGATTAAAAAACATTACACAAAAATACCAATTTGGATTTCACCTACAGAAACATTAAAACATCCAAATTTAACTGAGTGGGACAAGATAATAAAATATAGAAATATATTAAAATGCGATACACACTGAACAAAATGAATTGGACAAAATTATACAAACTACGGAGGAGAAATTAATCAGTAGAATATACAAATTTTTGCTACGATATAAAATGGAAGAAGAAATAGGATACATTGTAAGGATACAATGATTAAATGGGCAAAAAACTTTAACCACACAATAGAATTGGAGAAATAGGAAAAAATGTGGCAAATAAATACCAAACTAACAATGTCCACGGCATACAAGGAAAACCAGTTGAAGATGTTTCATAGATGACATCTACCCCCGGCTAGACTTGCAAAGATGTTTCTGAGTAAATCTGAGTCATATTGCACTCAAAATTCTACAATGTTCTGTTTTCTATTATGTGATTTAGGCCATACATAAAATGGAAAATCTCATTATCAGGAAATGGTAATAAATTACTCAAAATAATTGCTTCTGCGGGGAAGATGAAATAGGAATACCATTGAGTCTCCAGAGAGGTTTAGACAAAGGGCTACATAGGGGAAAAAAACTTATTGTGAAATTTCCCCCTATATGGGCAGATTAGATTCTGTCTTTCTATCTAGAGTGTTAAAACATAGTTATTTTTCTTGAGTCCTTGGGCTGAACTGAGCATCTTGTGTTTTCTGTTTTCTTTATTAATAAGATTTCTGCACGTTATCACTCGCTAGAGCATATAACCTGCTGGCCATGGGTAATAATTCATTGGCAGTTAAATTTAACCTTAGGATTTTTCTATTAAGGTAGATGAATAAACTAATGAAGTTATAAGAACATACCATCTCACAATATGAGATCATTAAAAAATTAAATAAAATTGAAAGAATATTTTATTAGTCATTTGGTTTACATGAATTAAGTTTGCAAAACCTCACAAAATAGACTAATCTGCCAGCTTTTAATTAATTGCCTGGGATATATGAATTTGTTTTTAATACTTGTAAAAATCTACAGGAGAAAGTAGAAGCTGGCTTTCAGAAAGAGCTAAAACTTGTAAAATGTTAATGTAATCTGTGAGACCTATTTTTTTTCTTGGGGGGAAAGAATCATGGTAAAAAGTTAAATGTGACATCTTTTAATTAGCAAAATGAAAGTGTAAGCTTTGTAAATCAACATCATGAAAATCTGTGAGAAAGTAAAATCCAAATGTGTATTGTTTTAAAATTTATTTCCTCTTTTATAGCAAAAGAAAGGAAAGTCATAACCCTGTGGTGGGAGTTTATAATACCAATGTCAACACCTTGTTACCTGGAAGGCAGGGCATTTTTAAAAAGGAGAGGAAGAAGAATGATTCTCATGTCTATGCAGTCATTGAAGATGTTATGGTTTATGGGCACCTGCTTGATAATTCTACAAGACCAGAGATGGCTGAGGTAGGGGTGTACAGGCCCTTTTCTGGACCAGTAAGTACTACACCACCTTCCCCACCTCCAATCAGAAAAATATCTAAGAGCTCAGACCTGCAGGAATCATCAAACATGCTTGTAACTGATAGTGAGGACTATACCTTTGCACGTCATGTGCCAGAGAATATTCATAATGGTGACCTGAATGTGAATGGTAATGGACACGTGGGCAGCAGGAACAATGAACAGGGAAATTCTGTGGACTAGACTTGATATCTTGATGATCTGTGACTTCTCTGATTCAAAGAAAAAACTTATAACTCACTTATGGGTTGTATTTGAAAACTATTTATGTGGTTTCTTTTTACTAAAATATAGATAGCAGATCTGTTCATATTTTGGGAAAGAGGTTTCTGAGGATGTAATGCCATACTTTGTTGTATAGAATGCAACAACTTTGAAGTTTACAGATTTTTAATCTTCAATATAAGTAAACTTTTTTTAAAAAGTCAGCAAACCTGAATGTTAAACAAAACTAAGAAATTAGGTTAGCAAAAGAACTCTTAATCCAAAGATTGTGCTGGATAATGAGCATTAAATGCAAGAATTGTGCTTTTTGTAAATGAGATTTTTACTTATTGTCCTTACACACATTGTATAATATATGTATTTTTAAAAAAATATTACTTTTTAATTTTAGCTCTGTGGAAATAATTTAGTGAATTTTAACAAATTATCCTCAGTTACACATTTCAAAGGGTGGACAACACTAAGTTTGTAATGAAAATAAAAGGACCATTCTGCAATTAATGGAATTATTGTTCCACTGTTACAAAGTAATTGACTGTAAAAGTATTCTGATACATAGGAAACAAGCCTTCTGAGATATTTCGACTTGAGTTCTATGGCTTCTTGGCCACTTTATGCTAAGAACCAATAAGATTTCTTGGAAACCAATATAAGATTATTATATAGATATGTACACATTACCAGTAGTCAGTCTGTGCATCCATTTGTCTACTTTTGAGAAAGGAAGGTACAGAAGTTCCTTTGTAGATACAGTTTTGAACACATCATGAGACGGTAGCATAGGCATACTATAGATTGGCCTATTGTGAATTACGGTAACCTTTAATAGTTTGGGTTGAATACCTGATTTGGATAATGTCCACTCCAACTGACTCAGGATAGCATACAGTAGAACCAATAGAATAAAAACAGAACATAGTAATCCTAAAAAAATTTAAAAAGTAAACAACAAAAAACAGTGGTAGATACGGCAAACCACACCCATATAGAATGGGTATCCTAACCCAAGACCTGAGAAATCAGAATGCAAAAAAGGAACAGGAAAGATATAGTTCAGCAGGTTTTATTTGTTTTTTTTTAAAGTTTATTATTCTTATGGAATGTATCTTGAAAGATACTTTTGCAATACACAGAATTCTACTCAATACATTTCAATGGATGAGAAGATGTGGAAAAGCATTTTTACTTCAGCTTGAATTTAGCATTTTGAAGTTCTACGTAAGCAGCTAACAGCTGCAAAAAACTTCTGCATTGTTGTAACCACAGTGACTCTTGCACAATGTATTTTCCTGGTGAAGTGTATGAGACGATTGTTTTTAGAAAGAAGAATTAATAGTCAAAATGAATTCCTAGAATCCAGAAGGAGTTATGGTCACACTTTGTATGTGCAGCGAAGCTTCTGAAAGCATCCCTTCCTCCTGCTTTGCTGAGCAAACAGATTGTTCCTGGGGTTGGACAACTTTCTGGAATGGCATGTGCGTTGTAATGAATTGACAAAAAGAGCTGAGCATGCTAAGACTGCTATGAAATTGCCACATTTTCGTGATTGATCTGTATGAAAAATTAAACTATTTAGAATATATATTGTACATCTGTAATTATTTCTATTATCCTATTTCAGGGATTGCAAATGTTTGAAAAGTTTCAGGCTGCATCACAAAGCCTCCCGATTTTTTCAAAGGCTGCAGGAAGCCTTTTGATGATGCTACAGCATCACAGGAAAAGTCAAATATGAGATTAGCCAAGCTTTTAATGTTCTGTTTAATCATTTCATTTTACTGGATCCTTGATGCTCTCTGAGCTTGGTTGTTTGTTTGAGACATTTCATTATCCAATCAGATAACATTATCTGTACTACTGAGTGTGGGGAGTGTTGCTTCCTGTTTATGTACTATTTTTATTTTACTTTAACTGTGTGGTTAGATATAAACTGAACTACTGTTTGTTTTATAAAGAATTATGTATGATATTGGTCCTTATATCCTCAGGCAAACAAGATTGAGTTTGTTTACATTCTTATATATGCATATTGTTAATTTTGTCAGGGATGCTTGGGATTATTTAATGAAAAAGAAAGTATATTAAAGCACAGTCAATTGTCCTTCTAAAGTTGCAAAAATATTTTCTGTTAGCATAATTATTTCTGAAATCAACATTCTTGTCAACAGCAAGAGTTTTATTACTTTTATCACTAATAGAAGATAGGTTGTTAGATCCAAAACTCCAAATAACCAAATTTTAGTATAAACTGTTGGGTCAAATAAACATTATAAAACTACTTTCTTCTCCTATCTCATTTTTTACTTTTATGTCACAATTTCTATTCTTTAGTTATTACAACTTGTTCTTTATATATTTCTTTCTTACTTTTAAAAACCTTACTAAGTTGTTTTCTTAATTTAGAATATTTGTAAATGTTTGTCACATTTTGAATATGAATGGAAGTATTGATGTTAGCGTTTTCATAGTCTTGTAACATGGTGGTTCTTATATGTTCCTCTGACACAGCTGTTTTATTTAATTTGCATTAATGCATACAATTGAAATGTTTGTGTATATGCATATTGTATATACTTTGTTCATTCTTCAAATTGAAATAAAAGAATGTTTACAATTACAAGGATAATTTAAGCAAACCTCAAATGACTTGTTCTTTACTGAGAAGCTTGCTTTGAAATGCAGCAAACAAAGTGTATGGAGTTATTGAAGAGAAAAGATATTCTGATTGAATGTACTTTGTTCTTCTTAGCTTATAAATAGTTAAAGGGAAAATACACTAGATAAAGCTTGATTGCTATGGTAATCTTTTTTATTGTATGATAAAATTTATATGTTTAGAAATTAAAGAAAAGAAAACCAATTTTAAGAAGACTTGCACAAAATGCATTAGTTTTTCTTTGTCAACTATTCCTTCATATTTTTCTGTTCACTGGTAATTAAAAAAGGATAAATGTGTTCTCTCCATTTTAGCTTGTGGTTTGAAGATTATTTTTCATCCTGAAAACTGTGAATTAATAATCTTTGGAATCAAATAGCCTATTAAATACTAAATTTTAGTTCTTTAAGAATGCATGTATGTTTAGACAACCTAGTTGAGATAAAAATTAAAAGCTAACATGAAGGATTTGTAATGTAGATATAAAGGGATAAAAAACTATTTAGAGCCATTCTCACAGAATAAAATCTGTTCGCATATCTGAAAATCAGAAAAGAAATGTAAGAAGATAAAATGAATTATTTTAACATTTGGAGTTTGCTAATGTATGAAGAATTGTGAACTAATTACAAATATTTAAGTAATAAAAATGTATAGAAATGTATTTCTATTTAAGTATAGAAAGATTTTTGCTATCCCAGATTTACAATCTTGGGTTGAAGATCGTATTTGCTCTGTATTTTTGAAGAGAGAAAATTAAGAATTAATGAATTAATATTACTGTATGTCAGTGGTTCTCAACCTTCCTAATGCCGCGACCCTTTAACACAGTTCCTCATGTTGTGGTGACCCCCAACCATAAAATTATTCCTAAAACCATTGAAAATATGTGTTTTCTGATGGTCTTAGGCGACCCCTGTGAAAGGGTCATTCGACCCCCAAAGGGGTCGCGACCCACAGGTTGAGAACCACTGCTCTATGTGATCATAATTTAAAACTATATTTAAATATTGAACTAAAAGGATGTGGATTTTACCTGTTTCACTTTCTTTTTCTATTCCATTTCTTTTATTTATTTATTTATTTATTTATTTATTTATTTATTTGCACGTATTTATATGCCACCCTTCTCCCAAAGGACTCAGGGTGGCAAACACAAACAAAAACATACAATAAAAATCCGAATTAAAACCAGTTAAAATCAAATAATAATAAATAATAAAACCCAAGAATTTTCTTTTAAATTTCACATACAAAAAAAAAAAATGGAGGTAAAAATGCATAGCAAGGGTGGGCCATAGCAGTTTAGAAATACTTCTTTCATTCCCCTTTTCTCTGTTTGTTAATCTAATGAGTATGCTTTTAAACACTCAGCATGTTAGTGACATAAATAGGTAAAATATAACATTAATGTGACTGGACAACTATTAGGCACTGCTATTGTCAAATCTACTTTTATTAAATGTTATCAAACAGACAAACTGGTTCACTCTACTTTCCTGCCTTTGTACAAAACATGGACTCTTTTAATGCAAAACAAAATAATTCTCATGGAAATATTTACAGTTAGAACATAGCAGAACATTCACTGTTACTTTAATTCTTCATTTTCCGAATTGGACACAAATAAAAACTTCATTAAAATAAGAGTCATGAACTCTTCTCTGAATCTTGACTTTAATTTTGACATTTATTTCTGTTATAATATCTTCTTCCGATATAGATAGATTAGAATTTGACCATATATGGTGTATCCACTGCAGCAGGATAAAAGATAACTGCATTAGTGATTTATCAGAACAGCAATGTGTAGTGGGTTCTTCCCGGTTCCGCCTGGTTCCGCCAAGCCGGTAGCGGTGATGATATGACGTCACCGAACTGGTTTCCCCCCCCTGCGTTATTCTTACCTTTTATTTGGCCCTACCCCCAATCTATTGCTGCCTCCTGAGTCCCAGCTGATGGGCTATAAGGAAAGAAACTGTTTAAACTCTTGCCGCTGGGCTTCAAAGGGCCACTCTACAGCTGATCAGTGTTAAAAGACAGTGTGGTGGTAGACCAGTGCCTCCAAAAACAAATGAGTAGATTGGTGCCTGCAAAAATAAATGGGTAGACCAGTACCTCTAAAAACAAATGAGTAGACTGGTACAGCTCTGCAAGCAGTTAAAAGCCTGGTAGACCAGTACCTCTGCTAAATCCTAAAGAATTTTCACATGACCATCAAGCCATGCCCACAAAATAAGTCACGCCCACAGAACCGATAGTAAAAAAAATTAGAACCCACCTGACAGCAATGGTTGCATAACTCAATAAATAGGACAGAAATCTTCCTAAATTGGTCAGCTACAAACTGCTGCTTCAGAATTCAGAGATTTGCATTCCTAATAAACAGAAAAGGCGCCAGTTGAATAAAGGTTGTGTTAGAGTCACATGGCTGAGTTATAACAGTTTGGCATGAATCTGACTGAAAAAAGAAAAGGGCCTTAGATTTATCTCCTCCTTTATCACACTGGAATTTTTCCAATTAGATTACTTGCACGATCTATATATTTTTCAAGTTGGTTTTTCATTTTAAGAAGAAACTATTGTTGTTTTTTCAAAAGACTTGTTTTTACAAAATATCTGCCACAACCCATCTACTTAGCCAACACTATTGGTCTATCCAATGCATATTCACATATTTTTGTATTTAAATTTCCAGGAGATTAAGAAGATTCTTTCTCAAATTGGACTTAATCTTTAAGAAGCTTGGAGTGTTTCATATTAAATTAGAGTAGGCAAACTGGTTCTCCCCCCCCCCCACCCTTCATAATTTATGGATTTCTACTCCGTTAGCAACAGTAGTTTAATGATTACTTGAACAACTGAGAAAATATTCCAGTCTTTCCTTCTGGAGAAAATCACATCTGCCCTTATCTTCATTTCCATTATATCATAAACTATTTGTGTATTGTTTTTGTTTATCTAGACATTCTGTCTGTGCAATGAAGACAACTGCTGTTTTAAACAGAATCTCAAATGCAAATGCAGGGCGGCCTACTGCTGTTTGTGTGGCTGATTTATTTCCATTATGTATTAATATTCATCTATTGATACATTAGGGTTTACCCAGGAACATGCCAACTTGATGAAAACTTGATATTTCTTAATAGAAGAAGCATACCCATATGATGGCTACACCAAGTGCTTCGGATTGAAACTATTTTCAATTGATTGAAACTTGATTTTGTCCTGCAAAATCAAGTGGAATGTTAATCAGCGCTGAACACTTAAACTATGCTTTTCTCTCCTTTAGAAAGTGTACCTCCCAGGAAATAATTGTAGTTGGCAAGTTGATGTGGCAATTCACAAACTTAAAAATATCCAGCATGTTTTTTCCTTTAAAAATGCAAACTCATTTCTGTGATTTCTGACTATGATACCCACTTCCTCATTCTGCTGTGTCTGTACCTGTTTGCATACTTATGGTCTAAAATAGTTCTGTTGAATCAGACTCCATTTAATAGCAGAGTCAGGCCAGAACTGTTCTTACCAGATGTTTGATTATGCATGTTAGGGCAAGCTGCATACTCTGCAAGTTCAACCTGAAAAGGAAGAGTATTGTAATTGAATCATGTTTTATTTTCTGATAAATTGTTTGAGGTATTCTGGCTCTACTATTTATTTATTTTTTGTCATTCTTGTTATTTTGCAGTTCAGATTCAGTTGTTGAAGCTGTTTGAGTGCTGCTCAATAAAAGATTCTAGACTGATTACAGTTGTGTAGAATAACTTATTTTCGTTATGAGAGTGTGAGTCATAGCATTAATCATGTAACTCTTGTACCTATGAAGAGATGTTTGTTTCTTGCCCATATATGAATAATCTACTATTGAACATTGTTACCCTTACAAAAATGATGAATATTTCTCTCCATTACAGGATAAAGCTATGTGAATCATACCTGGCTAGGTGGCTGGTTTCTGTATGTGAACAAATATCTTATATATAAAGTCCAATTAAGATTCTTGGGATCTAGTTATATATTATATTAATTGTACGAGTATTTAACATGCCTGCTGGGAAACAACAGAACTTATGTGAGGGAAGTGATTTAACAGATTAACAGAGTTGGAAGGGACCTTATAGGTCATCTAGTCCAATCCCCCGCTGAAGCAGAAGACCCTACACCAGTGATGGCTAACCTTTTTGCCATCATGTGCCAGGAGGGGGTGGGTGGGGGATGTTCATGTGCATGTGTGCCCACACCCCTAATTCTATGTGCCCTGCCCTCCCCTCCCTCCGCACATGATGGGCACATGATGGCCCGGTAGGCCCGTTTTTCTTTCTCACCTGGCTCCTGATCCCCTCTATGCATCTGGGAAGGGTGAAAACAGCCTTTCCCACCCTCTTGGAGCCCCCCCCCCACCGGAGGCCTGAAAGGGCCCATTTCCCAACTCTCGGTGGGACAGGAAGTGACTCTTTTGCTGTCCCCAGCCTCCAGAGCCTCTCTAGGAGTCTCCCCAGATGCATAGAGAGGCTCTGGAGCCAGGTAAGAAAGAAAAATGGGCCTTCCCCACACAACCCAGGCCCTAGAGAGGCAGGAAACAGCCTGTTTCCCTACTTCTGGTGGGCCCAGAAGGCCCAAAAATCAGCTGGTTGGCACGCGCTAGAGCTGAGCTGGCGTGCCCACTGGCATGCGTGCCATAGGTTCGCCATCACTGCCCTACACCATTTCTGACAAATGCCAGTCCAATCTTTTCTTGAAAGTCTCAAGTGATGAAGTTCCCACAACTTCCGAAGGCAAGCTGTTCCATTGGTTGATTGTTCTCACTATCAGAAAGTTCCTCCTCATTTCTAGGTTGAATCTCTCCTTGATCAGTTTCCATCCATTATTCCTTGTCTGGCCTTCAGGTGCTTTGGAAAACAGCTTGACCCCATCCTCTCTGTGGCAGCCCCTCAAGTATTGGAAGATGGTTATCATGTCTCCCCTGG